AAAGTTAAATATACTATTCTGAAGTGTAAAAAAACCTCAACCTTTGAACATTATATGAGAAAAACGCAAAAAAAATTAAATTTTGAGGATTATCTGGGGTAATATTTGATCGTTTCGATATATAATATTCGTGTGTTCTGTGCTAACAAAAAAATCAGTAGTTTGACCTTCACTCTCTATAACTATAAAAAAAATATATTATCAAATATCTTGCAGAACATAAACATAAAAAAAAAACTCTTTAGAATACCAAAAATACTAATAACAATAAAAGAGGAAGGATTAAATATAAATAAAAATATAGAAAAAAAAAAAAATTGCATGCAGAGAAAAAGAAAGGTTTTACATTTGATTTTGACTCTATTAGGGAGGGAAATGAAAACGCGCAAAAAGGCTCTAAAAATCCTAGAATTTAAAATGTGTCTAAAAAAAAAAATGARCTAACAAAAGAAAGCACCATTATATTGAATTAAATGACCATTAAGGTGATCTGAATTGACGGATTTGAAAAAAAAGAAGAAAAGGTTTGGCGGTGACTCTATGAGGAAAAAAAATCAATTTATAGTATGAATAAAAAAAATAAGTTGAAAAAAAAAAAAAAAACAAGATTGAAAATGCAATGGATATAAAAAAAGTTATTAAGGAAATCACGATAAAATGCTGAAAGGTAAAGGAAATTGTTTGATTAAAGCAGCGCTCTTTTATCGAAAAAAAACGTTGTCAGAATCACGTAYTGAACACAAACCAAAAAAAATGGTCAAGAGTTTGAACATTTGAACTGAAAAAGCTAAATATGTCTTAAATGGACTTCGCTTTTACCCAACTGGAAAAAAATTGGGTTTTAGTGCAGCTCTCAATTACCACAAAAAAAAAATCAAAGGAAATTTAAGAATGTACCAGACCATTAAAAAAAAGAAAGAATATGGCTTACTTTCAAGCGGAACTTGAAAAAAACAAACCCATTTTAGGGAAGCAAAAGAGAGAAGAAAAAAAATAAACAGTAATTTTTTAAGTAATACTGAGACGCAAAAAAAGGCTCTCAAACACAGGAAAAGACTTTAATCACTTTTAATTTGAGCTAATTTTGATTCAAGAAACGAARAAGAAAAAAAAACAAGCGGGACAACAACAAAAAAGGAGCCGACATAAAAAAACGGTCTTGCCRAGGATCAAAAGGTAAGAGAAAAAAAAAAATATTTCAACGTTTATCGGTAGGAAATATCAAGATAAAATTCAGAACATTTTGGCATAATTACATTTGGAAATGAAAAAAAAGAAAYTGTGACATTTTATGTCAAAGTTGTTTTCGCTTGTTGACATGGCGTCCGTAAGTACTGACATATTCACAACCGTAAATAAGTCATTTGATTTTTTCAGCTTGCACTCTTATGATGACGCTAACTAGATCATTCTCATCTTGATATTGGTATTAAATAATATCTATCCAATGAAAAGCAACGCGAGTAAAAAAAAAGCAACGTAAGAAATATAAATTTCTAAAAATTTTAAAAAAAAATAAGCCGAATAAAKGAAGAGGGAGAGAGGATAAAAAAATTCATGCATATTTCAGAAAGTCTCATTAGTGCCAAAAAAATATCAATTATGTAATATATGGCATAATGCTTTAAAAAAAATCATTAGCACACAGCAAACTGATATTCATTGCTAAAAAAAACTCAGAAAGTCGTCAGGGGAGTTTCCATGGAAACCTAACACATTTATGATTCGTTGAACTCAATAATAGTAAAAAAAAAGTCTTTGAACGCCTGAAGCAAATTACGATTCTTAAAAAAATTAATTTAAATTCCTTATAAATATCATTTAATTAAAAAAAGCTCTATCAAAACAATTTCTGAAATTGATAYGAAAAAAAACTTTTTTGTGATGGTTTTGTGAACATTAAGGATAAAAAAACTTATGTTAAAACCCATGGCAAGCATTTAAGAAATTGAATTACTATTTATCTAGGATTTCCATTACACGAGCAAAAAAAAACGGAAAAAGGATCGGCCTCACGCAACGGGAGAGATACCTTAATGGAAGGCTAATACTGTTGTCCATCGCCGCAAAAAAAGTTTTGGAATTCTTTTGGCTTACATGTCTTATTAAAAAAATACCTATATTTTCTTTGACCATATTCATCTTTTAAAAAAATTTTTGCTTTTGCTGCTGATGAATTTTCCTTTTTTACTGATTTCTTCCAATAATTTCAGTTCAATATTGTTATAAAAAAAGTGAATGCTATTAAATTCTATTAGTTACTTCTTAAAAAAAATTGTATTGTAGATAAAAGTGATTATTCATAGCAAAAAAAATGGAGGTATCGTTTAACCATGAATACATAGTAAAAAAAAGTGTTTGTACCGTCTTCCACCCACACACCGATCAAAAAAAGTTATCTTTCCAAACCGGACGTTATACACTATCAAAAAAATACACTTTTACATCGTCGCTTTCTGCTCGAATTCAGTAAACTCGCCAGTTAGAAGCGTCATTAACGCTTTCTTAAAAAAATAAAACGTCCCTTTATTCATGCCTTTTTCCAGTAAAAAAAAAAATCAGTTAATATGAAAACGTGCTTGTAAAAAAAAAAAACTGCACAAAATGATTATAACAAGATATGAAAGAAAAAAAAAACATAACGCCGAAAAAGAGAAAAAGCTTTTATGTTTTGATTTCATGAGCCTTGAGTAAAAATCTGCAAGAAAAAAAAAACTTTCTATTGAATTTCACACATGTGAAATTCGAAAAAAAAAGCGARCCTTACTTAGCGAAGACCATACATCAAAAAAAACAAGAATTCAATCTCTACGAAAATATTTCACTTCAAGATGTTTTTACATTCAAAATGCATGTCGATGGCATGCAAAAAAATTAAACCTATCCAATAAATGATTTCATTTGATCAAAAAAAATTTATATCATAATAGTCAATATTATATCATCAAAAAAAACGTCACGTGCATTTTGAATTGGCGCCAAACATTAAAAAAAACAGTGGTTTTAGTCAGCGGTTGCCCATTTAATAAAAAAAGTGACCATTCATACTTAAAATTCAAGAAATTTAAAAAAAAACGGAACAAGATTCTTTTTTATTAAGCACGTTCAAAAAAATAAGCGTAAGAGACATAACACGACAAAAATAGTAAAAAAATGGCTTTGGAGGGGTGGGGTGTAAGGTGGGGTTAAAAAAACGTCGTATAACCCCCTCCCCCACCCCCTCCCCAAAAAAAAACACCCATGCGATATTGATGATGATATCATAGAAAAAAAAATCATTTATTGAATGTAGTTCAAGCCAATACTTAAAAAAACCCTTTTAGGCACCAATGTAAACAGCTCCAGACAAAAAAAAATCATTGAATGGACCATAATGGCGCCAGGAATAAAAAAATCTATTCTAAACCATTCATTATTTAATGCATTGAAAAAAACCAGTACTTGTCAGATATTAATCACGAGAAATCAAAAAAAACGCCAATACAAAACGGATTATACATGGAGCTTAAGAATATATAGATCAGTAAAGTGGATTTGTCTCTGTGCCAAAAAAAGCATGTTGTTAGCTCTCATTGGGGAACGGATAGAAAAAAAAAAAGGGGGAGATTAGCCTGCAAAAACCGTCCCAAAAAAACTACGCAGAATCTCATTACATAAACAGAACTTCAAAAAAACACGAAACAGACAAAAGAAACTTATATAAACAAAAAAAAAATATGTTGCTGCTTTTACATAATGAATTCCTTAAAAAAAAACACAAATTAGGGGATTTTCGCAAGGAAATTAAAAAAAAACTTTTGGTTTCCTTAAACACTTGACAATAAAATAAAAAAAAAGTCAAATACCCTATGAAAAATCCTTTATTATAAAAAAACCCCCCTATTTCCTTAGTCTCAAAGCGGATTTGAAAAAAAAGGAGCAATCTATGTTGAGCAGGCTAACACTAAAAAAAAAATGTCTAAAGACGTCATTGACAAAGACAATGTCAAAAAAAAATCAATACAGGCAATTTGCCTAACCAATCAAAAAAAAAACAAAAGGCACATTCAGCCTCGACAAAACCATTGAAAAAAACTGCAGATGGCATCTTTTGTAAGATTAACACAGAAAAAAAAAGCTAAAGGTGCTGACTTCCGAGAACACGAGTAAAAAAACTCWAAAGAGAAAAGCGTGCTTGGTTCGTCAATAAAAAAACCGTATAACCAATGTAATGTTTGTTCTTGTTATTAATATCGTGTTGCCGATAGCTGTTTTCATTGTCATAGTAAAAAAAATTATTACTTGATCTGGTTGAATATGTTTTTTTAAAAAAAAGCACGATTTATAAGGTATAAGGTGGAATACTTTAAAAAAACTGACAGTACAAATGGTATGACGTTAACCGCTAAAAAAAAAGCATCTATTGTTTTATCATGAGTAAAAAGTGCAAAAAAATAGCTATCTTTAGTGTGTAGTTCACCTTTATCTAAAAAAAATGTTAAGTTGAGCGCTGTTTACACTAACTAACAAAAAAATGGAAATGTCAATGAAGTGACGTCATGGCTGGTTTTTTTTTCATAGGTAGTATCTTACTGGAATCGAGAAAATAAAAAAATACAATACGAATTAGAACAACATATACGTTTTGAAAAAAAAAGTTGTTTTCAAATAGCACAAAGCAACTCTTCATTTAGTGATGTGATATATGAAATATCCGTTGAACCAGTAAAAAAAAAATCTGCATTGCCTCATTCTCAAACACTTGAATAAAAAAATTTTGTTCTAATCAAGATTTTGACGCATGAATTAAAAAAAATCAAATTTTTCACAACCATGTAGACAAGAATAAAAAAAAAAGGAGTTATTAAGGAAGACTGAGATTTGAATTAAAAAAAAGGGGATGAGTTGCGTCGCCTAGTGAAGAACATAAAAAAAAAAAAAGGAAAAGTTCGGGGACTCCGTTGTCCCTGATAGGTGTAATTTACAGAATTACAAATCCTACCCTCCCAAAAAAATCATACCTTCAATTCTGTAGGCTGATGTTATCACTGAAAACCAGAAATAAACAATTTYCCAATTACTTACTTCAAAAAAATAAATAATGCAGTAATGAGTTTTTGGTTTAAGAAAAAAAATCACAAATATTTACCTCAAAAGTGTTGATCCCAAAAAAAAGATAAAAGTGTGTGGGTCAAGTAATTGTACTTGAAAAAAAGACAACCATGTAATAAGTGCTGAAGTATTGACTAAAAAAAATGACAAGTTGCCTAGTAACAAAGTAAGATAAGAAAAAAAAGATATGCATTGTGCGCGATGATTGTTGTTTTGAAAAAAATTTGTCATGCAACGCCTTCTCCCTACCTAAGATCCCCTTTGAATTTATACACTTCCGAGATGAAATGACTGAAAAAAAAACGCGGCAGCCACCATCACTGAACTCTTTAAGCGCTTAAGCAAACTGTCAATTGACAGCCAGAGAGATAGATATAAAAAAAAAAAAAGGGGATTCTTGAGTCAAGGACGACACGAAAAAAACTGAAAGCGTATAATTAAGATTGAAAGATTCTAAAAAAAAAAAAAGAATTACTCTTTTTTGTTGACGGTTTTTAAAAAAAAAAATATGTCAAATACTTGCCGTGATTAGATTTAAAAAAATAGAATTCATAATGTGAGCAAAGTTATGAATCGAAAAAAATTGTTGTGATGAAAAAAAACTGGGATGTGTTTCAAAAAAAGTTCATGTTACTGTTCGTTCGTATTTCTGTCATAAAAAAAAGCCAATCATCTTTAAGAATCAGACGAACGTCACATCCTGACCAGCGACCTATTTTTCACTCTTGAATTAACTAAAAAAACACTGTAGATGTATAAAGATAAAACATTTGTACAAAAAAACTTATCTACCAGAGAAATAGTGTGAAATGGCAAAAAAAAACACCGACGAAAAGTGAAAAAAAAAATTTGACGCAAAAAAAGACTGAAGCAGGTTATCAAGGTATGGAACAAAAAAAAAAATTTAATCAAAAAAAAGAGATCTTCCTTTTGAAAAAAAAAAAACATTTCAAAGCGACTGAATTTTTTAAATAAAAAAAAAATTAATTTAGTTGAAAAATTGAAAATGTCTGGATAAAAAAATCGTCTGTAGGGATCGCAGTATGATCTCTGGGGAAAAAAATTATCTAAGTGATTATCTCTAAAGTGAGTTTGGAAAAAAAGCTAGTAAAGATTTTGTAAAATATGGCGAGGGAAAAAAAACTTTTGATTAGCGAACCATCCAGGCTATCCAATTATTATTCTTTTACATTTGTGTCAAATCTCTAGTTAATGAAAAAAAACGGCACCCTTCTTTCACTTGTACAATGAAAAGAAAAAAAAACATTCAACTGTATTTTTTTTACAATTACAATAAAAAAAATAATGCAAATAAACTACCAAATACAAAATCTGTAAAAAAAGAAAAGTCACTAGCCCGAGATTTTTTTGAAAATAAAAAAAACTTCAAGGTTGTTGCTCTCATTTGAATTCGTGAAAAAAATATTTCGAGGCTGTGTGTAGTAATAATGAAAAAAAAAAAAACTTTGACAGCATGTTCAAGTGTCAAGTTAATTAAAAAAATATGAATAGATCTATTTTCATTTGTATTTCAAGAAAAAAAGCATATCCTCTGCAAGTTGTTTTATATTTCGACAAAAAAACTTATTAAAGGATTCGAGAATTAAACTTTCTGTAAAAAAAAGGGGAAGGAAAAGAGACAAGAGTTTTTTTGTAAAAAAAATCAAAACATACTCTTTTAACTAAATGTCTTTCAAAAAAAAATGCATTGCTAGATTCAACTATAATATTCGTAGAAAAAAATCACTCAAGAGTGTGTAGTATGTACTGATAACAAAAAAAATATGTATTATTCATCAAAAGATAACTGAGATTTTTTCGCGCAATTTTTTTAAAGCTTTATTTTCTTTATTATAAAAAAAAACTCGTTGACTTGTTTGCTCAGCTTTGCTTGTTAAAAAAATTGTTTGTTTTTTTTTTCCGCTGATTTTTGTAGCTGGTCAGTTGTTGTTTTTTCGCCTAATTCTTGACTCGCTAAAAAAATTTTCAAAGCCCGCGGTTTTTTTGTTGTTGCCGTTGCTGTTTTTGGAACGCGTTCTTACAGAGTTACAAGTTTAAAAAAATTCGTGAACGCTCATGCGCTTCTCAATTTCCCTTGCATGTCCCAGGTGGGTTCATGAAAAACTCTGCTTGAAAAAAAAAATCAATTATCAAAACTTTCATAAATTATTCATGCAAAAAAATTGCATTGACGTTGAAAATTTTTTTGCTGTTGAAAAAAAATTGTTTACGCAGAAAAGTCAAAGAAATATTTACAAAAAAAAGGATACACAAAATAAAAAAAAAAGACAAAGCAAAAAAAATTTTCCTTTTGAAAAAAAAAAAATTATTGCATTAAAAAAACTAGTGCCTTCTGGAAAAAAAGTGTCAAGTTTTCCTTATCAACTATAAATGACAAATCAGTATACTCATACTGAAAAAAAATATGTAAAGAAACTAAAGACTTTTCGTGTCGACATTGTTTGCCTAGTATATTTGCTCGTTTGRACGAYGGGAAAAAAAAMATTTTCAGCTCAAAGATGTCATTGTTCCAGTCATAACAGCATTAACTTCATAGGGGCAAACCACACAAAAGTAAAAAAAAGAGAGACAAGTTTGTGGACAGTTTMTATAATCAAAAAAAACTAAACGCTGGCACGACATTCCCTAATTAGCTAAAAAAACTTATAATAATAATGACGTTGGTCTGGTCATCTAAAAAAAACACTTGTTCGTGTGTAGATGACAAATTTTACCAAAAAAACCTCGTCCACACTGATGGCATGCAATGTGCACGAAAAAAAATGTCCGCCATATTGGATGACTTGATCATTCATCCAATATGGCGTCGATAACATGTTTGTGAGGGGCTTCTCGAAAAAAAGCTCACACACTATGAATCATACTAGTTCATACGAAAAAAACAACCTTTTTGTAGCTATGTCGTTAGCTGAAGTAAAAAAACTCCAAGACTAAAACCCGCGTCTAACGTTGAAGCTCACATGTGCTGAATTTAATATCAAGCTGATCGTGAGCAAAAAAAACAAAGGAATGAAAAAAATGCATTTAGTTGTACACATGTGAAATACGAGCCATGGTCTTTTACTAAAAGAAATAAAAAAAAGAATTTCCCCAGTAGTACAACTACAATCGTTGAAAAAAAAATTGTACCATTCCAGAGAATTTAATCATTTTAAGCAACACCCGCAATCAATTTCATCTCCCCTGACCCCCCAAAAAAAAAGTTGTCAATGAGCATGCTACCATAGTACACAAGAAAAAAAAACAACACCCAACAATGATGAAAGGGGGCTAAGAAAAAAAAACTGTGAAAAAATAAAGGAGAAAAATGTTTGAAAAAAAATAAGTAATTCTACGGTCCAAGGTATTTTGCCAACGATTGTACGTACATGTACTGATTTGGTTTGACATTTTGAAAAAAAAGTTTTCCAAAGTATTTCAATAGAAATCCCAGCAAAAAAAACATGAATGCTTTTATAAAACGTGTCATTCCCTCAAAAAAACGTAAGTCTATTGGTGAAATAATTCACAACACTAAAAAAAAATCAGATATCCTGAGTAGCGGCCCGCTTTTAGAAGCTTTCAAAGCTAACCGCCATGCAGGCTACAAACCAGGAAAAAAAAAACAATAACTGTGAACTATAAATAATAGTAATAAAAAAAGATTATTAATTCACTTAAAATCAAAATATGTCCAAAAAAAAATACAATTATACTGAAATTCTAGAAAAAATAGAAAAAAAATTGACCTCGTGTAACAATATCTAAATATTCCTAACTATTAGATGACTCACTCGTCATGAAAATATCAAACAAAAAAAAAATATGTTTAAGTCTTAATCAGCACTAAAATGGCAAATAAGATTGAATGTTTCTTCTTGTTTTAGAGTCATAAGAAAAAAAGCACGTGGACCTGCTGTGATTTTCCGAGACGGCTGACGAGACAAGTAGGTTTATAACATCATTTGGTTTTAAAATCTCTATGAAGAAATCAAAATGAAAAAATGGCTATTGCAAAAAAAAATGCATGGGCCATGGAAAGTCTTTCAAGAGGGTAAAAAAAGCGTTTTCAATTGAGAGATGTTAATTAATCTGTAAAAAAATGTTCCTAAGAATCTTTTTTTATTATTCTTTTTAAAAAAATTTTTTTATTTTAGCTATTTTTAACCTCCAGCTAAAAAAACTCATTCTTGTCATTTGAGATAGCAACTAAGAACGGAACGAGGCTTTTTTCACAGTTTGTTTTGTTTTTGTCCAAAAAAAAATGTATCTTTTTTTTCATATAATAGCCATAAAGCTCATTATTGTAGCTTGCTTCAAGTTTTTTAATATATTTAAAAAAATTGTTGATCAATGCTCTCTCTTTAATTTATGGTAAAAAAAGTTTTGTCTTGTCTTTCATTATTTTCACATTATAAAAAAACTCGTGTACTATTTCCCAGTTCTTTCACCTCTAGTTTTCCTCTCAATAAGACATTTTTCGTTAATCACGTTTTGCCATCCATTTTTTCCATATTTTACTTCTGTTTAGCGATATTTTTGTCTATATTCCTGAGCGCTAATTGCCTATTTCAATTGCGGGAGGTTGCTCCCAACAGCGTTCACCCGGGAGACGTAAAAAAAACAAAAAAAACACAAACGATTCTCAAAGGCTGTAAAAAAACGAATTTTATGTAAACTTTACAGCTGACGAAACAAAAAAAAGTTTTTCATAAATTATCACATTACATATGAAAACGTTCTCGACGACACAAGGTAAGATGCAAAATCATGAAGAAAAAAAGGATGAAAGACGTCCAATTACCCTGACAGGGGAAAAAAAACCACTCATGCTCTAGTTTGAGTGGTCGGTATCTAAAAAAATGTATTTCATGACGGATAATTATCGTTGACTCAAAAATACTTGACCGGTAATTTAAGTTATTTTG